GTCACTGCACCTCGCTCAGATGTAGCAACTGGGGCTTCCCTGTTTCTATAGGCTTTCCTTGGATATAAACTCCCCATCAGGACTCACTGCTGACCTGCCTCCTTGGCCTCTGAGGTCCATGAGAAACCATCCATGTGATTTTGTGCTTGTTAGAGGCCCCTTGATGGAGATGTTCATTCTCCAGCACTGGTTCATTCCCTGCATGTGGGAAATGGGCGAACTTTCCATAAAACCCCTATAGATGGATCATTCTCCACAGGGGCCCTCCCTGCTGAGTGAGATGCTGTTAAACACCCTTTGTGTTTCTGTGCTCTTCAGGCAATATTTCCTTTTTCTTATAACCTTTCCAGGTCAGCAGAAAATTTAGATTTATGCTTAATTACGACCTGCAGCTTCTGTCAGAGGGCAGGAACCCGAACGTGCCACGGGGTTATTTCCTGCCGCGGAAGCAGCACCGAGGGTGTTTTAGGGACGTGAGAGAGGTTTGTGGTTTTACCTTGGGGAAAATAACCTGGAAACCACAAAGAATTCCAAGGACTTGAGCTGTCTCATGGAGTCAGCGTTTGGGGAATCAGCCCTGTCTGGAGTTGACCTCTCCAGGCTTCTCTGGTGTGACGTGGAGCACCCGGCTCTTCGCTGTGGTTTTACCTCAAGACTACTCTTGTTCATTAATTAGTTCAAGGTAAAAGCCTCCCACACCCAATCTATCCCTTTTAGAAGTGTCTAAAAGCTCGCGCCGCTGCACGATGGAGAATCCTCAGTTTGCTTCCTGCATCCCAAAATATCTGAACTGGGAATGTGGTGAGTGCTCCCAACACTGGGTTTCCCAGCCTGCTCCTAAAGCTCTGCCCTGTGATCTCTTTCTCTGAGATTTGGGGAGGAGAGGAGTGAACTTTGAATCCAGGATTCTCTGCCGCCCAATCCCGCGGGACACAGATGGATTTGCTCGTGAGCTGGATGTTCCTCTGAGCGGAGAAGTGCTCGTGTGCAGCCTGGGGGGGGGGAAATAAAACACTGTGACTGGTTTATTACCAGAAAACAACACTAAATAATAAATTTAAGAACTAAAAGCTCTATATGTAAAGTAGATTTCAAGATGCATTATGCAAACAGCAGAAAGGCACTGGAGGAGGGAACAGGCTGGGAAAAGGCAGGCTGGGAAGATGGATGATCTTGCGGACGGGATGATTGGATGTGGAGTGAATCCCAATCCTGGGTGACCTTGGGCAGGTTGTTTCTCCATTACCTGCTCTCTGAAAGCTGGAGGAGGTTTTCCTGTGGTGTTCAGGATTCCATCAGGATTCCATTCAGGAATGTTTATGGAGCACTCGGTTGAGCTGAGCAGGACAGGGCGAAGCATCAGGTACCTGGGAGCACCTGGGGGGGAGGTTTCTACACCTTCTCACCACAATACTGAGCATCTCCTGGAGCAGGATCCTGTCCCTGTGCCCCAGGTGGGAACACAAAGCTGGGAGCCAGTGGCAGTTCTTCACTTGTCTGCCTTGGAGCAGTTTGAGTTCAGCTTTGCTGTGGAAAGAGGGAGAGGGAGGCCTGGAGGGTCCGTGATTTCCTCTGGTTGGTGGAGAGAGGCCGTGCCAGAGCAAGCACAGGAAGGAGCTCTTGGATGTTTGTCCAGGACCCCTTTATCCCACACGTGCCCACGGGGATGGGCAGCACAGCTGGAAGCAGGTTTGGCTTCGCGTGGAGCTGCAAACACAGTGAACGTTCCTTGGTTTAGATAAAAGCTCCCTAAAGCCGGGGATGCAGTTTATCCCCAGAATTTACAGATTACAGGACCTTTTACCAGTGTGTTGATCTCAGCCTGGGAGAATTTCTCTGGGCCCCTGAGCTCTGGAGAAGGTACAAATCCCTCGTGACAATCCCGAGGCTGCCGCATGTGGAGCGTTTCAGAGTGAATTTTCCATCTGCTCCTTTCAAAGAGCTGCTCTCAAATGTACCTTAAAGCACACACCTAATAGATTTATTCTCCTTGTTCAACTACTCTTGTTCCCAAAGCAGTTGGAGATTTGGGGTGTAATCCTTTCCTTTGAGAGCTTTAGGAAGCAGAAAGTTATCATTGCTGAAGGGCTGTTTGCTGCTCGTTTCTTTTCCATTACACCTGTTCTGAAAAGGGGGGGGGAATAGCCTGTATTTTTATTTTCTTTCTTTGATTTCATTTCTAGTGCTGGTCAGAGAGACTTGGCAGCAGAAACTGTCTATCCAAACCTGGAGAGATAAAGCACAGGAGCCACTGACACACTCCCTGACGTCCTTCTCCGTTTGTCAGGAGGGAGCCGGTGGGACACAGGTGGGTTCATTCTCCACAGAAAAGGCCATCAAAGCAGGACTTTGTGAGGGTGACACAGCAGCAGTAGCACTGCAGAGCCATCATTTCATAAGGAAAGGCAGTAAGGATGGGTATGGATGTGTGCAGATGAGAGTTTGGGAGCTCTAATTTAGCAGATGCAGGATCCCCGTGGATTTTCCTCCCCACAGTGCAGTCTGTGCTCCACGTTGTGCCTGATGGTTATGGATTGCTCTGCTAAGCCCTTAAAGACCACAAGTTTAAATTTTCCAGGCTCTGCTTGCAAATGTGCTGAGGAAGGAACAACATTTCCCTAATTCTATCAGGAGATGGATAAATGGAGGTGCAAGCAGGGAGGAATAGTTGTTGCTCAGGTGTTTGCAAGAGGACTTGGAACATTTGCAGGGAAACGACTCCACGAGCACCCACAGATCAGACCAGCCTGGCACGTTCTAGAAATGCAAAATGAGGGACAACCTCAGGTATTCCCATAACTTCACCTGCTGTGGAGCTGGGGAAAGCTGGGAATGCAGCCTGAGCTTTGACAACGTGCTGGAACAGCAGTTTAGTCTCACAGCCCCGTTCCCTGAGAGAAGGAACTGCAGAGAGCAAACCTGTTGTGCCTGAGAAATCACTCGGGTTGGCATTTGGGAAGAGTCTCTGGTAATTATTGATCTCCTGATTTTCTAAGAGCTCTTCTTGCCTTTTTTTTTTGGTGTGTGTAATTAGCTCCATCAGGCAGGGAAATCGTGCCATAACATCAACAAGAGTTTTCAGTGTTGGGCTGGATTAAAGAACTAAATAGTACTTGGCAAAACCCAGCAACCAACCTGTTTCTCCTCCTCCCAGATTTCTTTTTGGGAATGACAGAAATCAGCAGCCTTTTTTCCCTGGTGCTGCTTGTTGCTGTTAAACACAACACTGAAGTCTCTCTTGGTAAAACCACGAATTCGGTTTTTTTACTTTGCCTTTTTTTCTTTTGAAGTCCTAATGACAGCGTGTTACAACCTCAGGCTCTGTTGAGTTGATGAGAAATAAAGTCTTAATAATGAAGAAGAGTCCAAGAGTGTGTCTAAAGCACTCACTTTATCACCAGCACATATTTCATAGTGACAGTCAATACTTTTAACCGATCCCAAGCCACACGTGGTGCATTTTAAATCCCTACTCAGCCTCCTCTGGTCTTTCCCATGTGGTGTTTTCCAAGAGAATGGTAGAGTCACTTTGTCAGCCTCAGCTTTCTGAGCACAAGGATGTTTTTAATTCACAACTCACATTTTTAGGCCAAGAGGATAAAGTTTGTTCTGTGTCAAGGAAGGGAAGGACCAGGGGAGCCACTGGAAGGGTTGGGTGGCAGAGCAGCTGCTGAGGGTCACGTGTGGGGTGATGGATTTAGCTTTCCAAGGACCCCAGTTGCCATTTTAGGGAGTCCAGTTTACCATTTCATTACTGTTTATGGCTTATAAATGGCCAAAGTGGCCACAAAGGAATAAAATTTAGATGCAGTCTCACCTTCTGGGGCTTCCTTTACTGCCTGTGGAGCTGCAGCTCTCTCTGACCAGCCCACAGCAACATCTCCATGTGCCCTCTCATTCTTTTTTTGGCCACATTTATGATTCCCTTATTTCTGTGTTGTCTCAACACCCTGCAGGGTTTGGCCCCACTTATCCCATGGCACCCCCAAACAAAAAATAACCAGCAGGGCTTGTTTTCCCCACCTGTGCCTTGAAGTTAAGCTGATTTTTAGATCAAGTGAGTGTGTGCTCTGGCATTTCCCTCAGGAAAAGCACTAATAGGGCAGCTCATCTCCTGGCCAGCTGTTTGCAGAAAACTGGTGGCAATTCCAGGATCTTTGCAGCCCCCGGGAGAGCAGGTGGAAATAGCAGAGAATGCCCGACTGGCACACACAGACACACAGCACGAGCTCCACTTGCTGCAGAGAGCTTAAAAAGGGGGGGGGGAAAGAAAGGGAAATAGACTTTAAAAGCCTTTTTGAATTAGTATTATTATTATTTTTGCCTTCAGTTGCCTGGGTTGTGCAGTGGCTCCTGCTCAAACCCTGCTGCCATGGACCAGCGGTCCCGGAGCTGATCCCGGAGGCTGGAGCCTCCCCCAAGCCCTGCCAAGATCCAAGAAAGCTGATTTAGCCTTTTGCTGACTTTTTAGCCTCTTTATCCTCCCAGCTTTCCAAGACTTACAGCAGTGCTGTTTGCCAATGCCACGATTTTCAAATCTGCCTCAGTTTGAAGCGTCCATTCTGCTGTGCTGCTCAATTTTGGGTCACGTTGGCAGGGGGTGGAAATCCCCTTTAATCATGGGGTGTTAAATTACTGCCAACAAACGGCCATGTAGCAATAGCCCTAAGAACTGTGCTTTATTACTCCACATATTCCCCCTTCCACGATGATTTTTCCTGGTTAAAATCAAATTTTCCATGTATTTTCCCCGACACTCGAGTACTGTGCTGAAAATTCCTCCTGACTTCTCCCTGCTCCTTTAAGGTGAACTTTTTTTTTTTGCTTTGGCCCGTTTCCAGATCTTTCAGCTGAGATTTGCTTCCTTTCTGCTAATTCTTGATGAGGAGCTGAGAGGGGCATTAAATAGATTTAGTGAGAAATGACCGTCACCGGCGTGGATGACTTTCCTCTAATTAAAAATTGAAGTGGAAATGAAAAAGCTCCTCTTGAGGCCGTGCAGGAGCCCAGCACTGAATCCATCAGTGACATGGCAAGTCCAGTGTGTGGAAGAATATCCCAGAAACTTCAGTGTCTTGGAGGATGCCAGTTAAAAGGGAAGGGAGAGTTTCTAGTGGCAGAAGATTGATGTGGCCTAGATTTGAATCTGTTGACCCAGGGCTAGAGCTCGGAGCTGGATTCCAGAGAATCAATGGTTTGGGTGGGAAGGGACCTTAAAGGTCATCCTGTTCCACCCCCCTGCCACAGGCAGGGACACCTTCCGCTATCCAGAGTTGCTCCAAACCGTGTCCAGCCTGGCCTTGGACACTTCCAGGGATCCAGGGGCAGCCACAGCTTCTCTGGGCAACCTATGCCAGGGCCTTCCCACCCTCACAGCCAAACAATTCCTTCCCAGTATCCCATCTAAACCTGCCCTCTGGCAGTGGGAAGCCATTCCCCCTTGTCCTGTTCCTCCAGGTCCTTGTCCAAGGTCCCTCTCCAGCTCTCTTGGAGCCCCTTTAGGCTCTGTAAGAAGCTCCAAGGTCTCCCTGGAGCCTTCTCTTTTCCAGGTGTCCTCATGGATCCAGTGTGGAAAGGGACCTTAAAGACCAGCTCATTCCAGCCCTGACACCTGCTATCCCAGGTTGCTCCAAGCACTTCCAGGGATCCAGGGGCAGCCACAGCTGCTCTGGGCAACCTGTGCCAGGGCCTCCCCATCCTCACAGCCAACAATTCCTTCCTAACATCTCATCTAAACCCAATCTCCTTCAGTTTAAGGCCGTTCCTACCACATGCCCTTGTGAAAACTCCCTCTCCAGGGACCTGTGCCATGTCCTTGATTTTTTATGCCTGTGCCAGGTAGGCACTCAGTGCCAGAGCAGAGTTTTCCAAGCTGATCCCACCTGGGTGACAGGATACCCAGCAGATGCTGAATTCAGCACCTTTGCTTCGATGTGCAGTGTGGACTCTTCCAGTGTTGCCCAGGAACCCCCTCATCCGCAGCCAGCGGAGTTAATCACAACCAACAACCAGAGCGTTCCCTTTAAACTTCCTCATGCAATGAATCAAAATTTTCCAGCAGGAAATGAAAGCAAAACACTTCATCTAAAAATTCCTCATCAGCTCTAGTCACTGGAGCAGAACAATGGTGATTACACTCAGCTGTGCAGTACAAATTCCCGGCGCTGCCGCGTCCCGGGATCCCAGCAGGGCGGGCAGGGACGGCAGGTGTGTGTTAATGTCTCCGTTTCCTACGTGAGGAGACGGGGCCTTGCAGGTGTTGAGCAGCTTCTGTGGAGCTACACAGCAGGACAGGGGCAGAAACAGGGATCCAGGTCCAGGGCTGGGGTGGTTGTGGGCTGGCAGTGAAGGAAGCGACCCTAATGAAGGGCAGAGTGCCTGGAGAAAGGCACATCTGATGGATCCCATCACCTCCTCAGGTGTTCTGGTGTTAACCCCAGAGGTGTTGACCATGTACAAAGGTTGTTCTTTTGAGACAGAGCAGTTGCTTTTAAATCTTGACGATGTTTTGGGTCGTTTTGTTTGCATTGCCTGACCGGGTGGTTGTTCTCCTGCAGGAATGGCAGAGCGTCATCCCCGCAGCAGCGATGACAGAGACTGACGTTCCTACGAGTCTCTCCTGGCTCCTTCTCCACCATGACTGGTGCATGTTCATGGGACGGTAATGCAGGATGTCGGGAGCAGCGGTAGAGTTTGGCTCCGTCCCACCGTGTTTTCCTTCTGCCAGCTGGGACTTTGGATCGCCATGACAACGCCGTGACCCTCCTGGCAAAGGTTGCCCGCTGAAAGGGTGGGCTGGGGGTGGGTGAGAAGGTCAATGACCGGCTCCGACGGGATCAAAAGTCGCGCCTGCAGCAAAACGACCGTGGAAGAGCCGTTGGCACGGCAAGAAGATGAAATTCCCCTTCCATTGGCTTCTCGCTGAGCAGGCACAATAACAGTTTTATCCAGGAGACTCGCTATACAAACTCTTTTGGTTATGGCTACTGATCCGACGTGATTGGGCGCGCGGCGACTCTGGAACTCATGACTGGATATACGATGTTGCGGAATGGGGGAGTGGGGAACGGAGGCCAGCCCTGGGTGTTGAGGTGGTCCAGTCGGATCCGGCTCACCTGGCTCAGCTTCACCCTCTTCATCATCCTCGTCTTCTTCCCCCTCATCGCCCACTACTACCTGACCACCATCGACGACGCGGACGACGCCGGCAAGCGCATCTTCGGGCCCCGGACCGGCAACGAACTGTGCGAGGTGAAGCACGTGCAGGACCTGTGCCGCATCCGCGAGTCGGTCAGCGAGGAGCTGCTCCAGCTGGAGGCCAAGCGGCAGGAGCTCAACAGCGAGATCGCCAAGCTCAACCTCAAGATCGAGGCCTGCAAGAAGAGCATTGAAAATGCCAAGCAGGACCTACTGCAGCTGAAGAACGTCATCAGCCAGACCGAGCACTCCTACAAGGAGCTGATGGCGCAGAACCAGCCCAAGCTCTCCCTGCCCATCCGGCTGCTGCCCGACAAGGATGATGTGACCTTCCCCCTGCCAAAATCCAGCAGGAACTGCAGGCTGCACAACTGCTTCGACTACTCACGCTGCCCCTTGACATCTGGCTTCCCAGTCTACGTCTACAACAGTGACGATTACCCCTTTGGTAGCTCCTTGGACCCTTTAATTAAACAAGCCTTTGAGGCGACCGTCAGAACTAATGTTTATGTTACTGAAAATGCAAATATTGCTTGTGTGTACATAGTTTTAGCGGGGGAGATGCAAGAGCCCGTAATGCCAAAACCTACTGAACTAGAGCAACAGTTGCACTCTTTGCCATATTGGAGGACTGATGGACACAACCATCTCATCATCAACTTGTCGAGGAAATCGGAGACTCAGAACTTCCTCTACAACATCAGCACGGGGCGCGCCATGGTCGCCCAGTCCACCTTCTACGACGCGCAGTATCGCCCGGGCTTCGACATCGTGGTGTCGCCCCTGGTCCACGCCATGTCCGAACCCAACTTCCTGGAAATCCCGCCCCAGGTGCCGGTCAAGCGTAAATACCTGTTCAGTTTCCAGGGGGAGAAGATCGAGTCTCTGAGGTCCAGCCTGCAGGAGGTTCGCTCTTTCGAGGAGGAGATCGAAGGCAATGCCCCGGCTGACTACGACGACCGGATCATCACCACCCTGAAGGCCGTCCAGGACAGCAAGCTGGACTTCGTTCTGGTGGAGTTCACGTGTAAGAACCAGCCCAAGGCGAGTCTGCCCACTGAGTGGGCTCTGTGTGGAGAAAGGGACGACAGACTAGAGCTACTGAAGCTTTCTACTTTTGCACTGATCATCACCCCCGGGGACACCCGTTTGGTGATCTCCGCCGGGTGCACCATGAGACTGTTTGAGGCTCTGGAAGTTGGAGCCATCCCGGTGGTTCTCGGAGAGCAGGTCCAGCTTCCCTACAACGACGTGATCCGGTGGAACGAGGCAGCCTTAATCATACCAAAGCCACGTATCACAGAAGTGCACTTCCTTCTGAGAAGCATTTCTGACAACGATCTCCTTGCCATGAGGAGGCAGGGCCGCTTCCTGTGGGAGACCTACTTCTCCACCTCGGACAACGTCTTCAGCACGGTCTTAGCCGTCATAAGGACTCGAATCCAAATCCCGGCCGCTCCCATCCGAGAAGAACCCGCCGTGGAGATCCCCCACCGCTCTGGCAAAGCTGCTGGTACAGACCCCAACATGGCCGACAACGGTGACCTGGACTTGGGGCCTGTGGAGACAGAACCCCCCTATGCATCCCCCAAATATCTCCGCAACTTCACCCTCACCGCGATGGATATCTACAGGAATTGGAACTCTGCTCCGGGGCCTTTCCACCTCTTCCCCTACACTCCCTTTGACCCTGTTTTACCCTCAGAAGCAAAGTTTCTGGGGTCCGGGACTGGGTTTCGGCCGATCGGTGGAGGAGCGGGTGGGTCTGGGAAGGAGTTCCAGGCTGCTCTGGGTGGCAACGTGCCCCGGGAGCAGTTCACGGTGGTGATGTTGACTTACGAGCGGGAGGAGGTGCTGATGAACTCCCTGGAAAGGCTCAATGGTCTCCCCTACTTAAATAAGGTGGTGGTGGTGTGGAACTCTCCCAAGCTTCCCTCCGAGGATCTCCTGTGGCCGGACATCGGCGTCCCAATCATGGTAAGGCAGATGGAGCTGTGCTGGTCTTGTTCCCTGGTGGGGTTTGTGTGTTGAAGTGGCTCTTCTATAGTGTATCAGCTCAGCTTCGGTCCTGTGGGATGGTTGGAGGTGTCTGAACCTCCTCTGGGTGCTGGAGAAAAACGAGAAGTCCCAGGTGTTTGGCACTCCTGGAACAGGAGTTGCTTGAGAGGAGCCCAGTGTGAATCTCAAGGCTAAAAGCTGGGGATTCCTGCTCATTGGAAATCTTTCCTCAGGCTCCTGAAGTTCCTCGCTGCGAGGACCGTTGACACCTTATAAATACCTAAGTAGTAACTGTTTCTGCACTTCACCAGATGAATTTTTTATCAAAACAAAAGAGGGACCCACTGAATCCGTGTCGACCGCGAAGACCTCAGAACTCATCTCTCACTTTATATTACAAGGGATGGCAGGGAAGGAATTACAAGGCAAGGCCAACGTGGCTGCCAGAGCTTCCATGCTCCAAAGGTTGTAGCTGAGTTTTCCATGGGTTTGGGTTGGTTATTTTTTTCCCCAGCCAAGCTGAAGAAGCGACACCTTCAAAACCCAAAGTTCATTTTCACACCCAGCTACTCACACATCGAGTTTGTAAGGGGTTAATTCTTAAATTATTATTTATGTATTAATTTTAGGACTTCTGTGTTGTCCCTGCATAACTTCCTGCCTGGCCATTGTTACCAATCAGTATTAAATATAAATCTCCACTAAAGCACAGACACAGAGCCACTGAGCCCACTGTGTGGGCTGAATCCGGCCGTGTTTGGAGGACAAATGGAAGGATAATACCTCACAAATTAGGGAAAGGAAAAATAAAAGAGGGAGATGGCACTTAAGCAGGCAAACTGCGTGTGGTTTATGTGACAGGACACCACTGGGCTTAACAGCAACGTGAGCTTTATGCTGCGTGCAAAGAGATTCATTGATTTAATATTTCCTTTTATTATTATTGGGATGAATAAATCCTTCTGCTCGCATTTAAGAACCCTTATAGTCCAGGGACAATGAGGAGAGAAAATTGCTTGGATAATTGGGAAATAATCTTCCACATTAGTCCCCTTGAAGGTCTGAATTCCACGGAATCTTTGCGTTGTGTCTGCCGGAAAACTGCGTCCTCCTTCGGAGTGTGGATTGTTCTCCTTGGAGTCGCTGATGGGTGTTATTTGTGAAGAAAAAAGATGTTTCTGTTGATGGAGGATAATGGCTTTTTGTACCTTGCTCTCATCTGTTGTGTTGGAGCCCCAGTGGCTTTTTGGGGACTTGGACATAGGAGTTGTTGTTGCCTTTGAGGGGTCCGTGTGCTCTGGGGGATGTGCCGTGGGGAATGTTCCAGGGGAGGGAATTGTCCTGTGTCTACTTGGGGATGTTGGATGGTAACACTGTGCTCGTGGCCAAGTGCCAGGGAATGGCTGGAGCACAGAGAGCTTCTGCTGTGTCCTTTCTCAAGGTGTGATCATGTCTGCTTTCTTCCCATTTTTCTAAATCCCAGTTTTTTTAAGAGCCGAAGGGATCTCTCACAGGGAAAGATTAACCCTGCGCCGCCTCCCGGCATCCATCCCACTCCTGTGCTTGTTGCTGAATCTGTCTCCAGGCTGGATGTTTAACCCATGTTGTATTCATCTACATGGATGGTTTGGTGCAGGAATGGTGGAAAACTTACCTGGCCTTCATCAGACAGCATCAAATCCTAAGATCTGCTGTGGAAAAGGGCACAAGAACTTGGGGAGCAGAGGCTGAGACGTGAGATGTGCTGGCCAAGGGAAGAGGCAGGTGGGGACGTGGGGTTGGAAGAAAGACAAACCAATGTCAAAAGAACCTGCAGAGCTGTGGATCTGATTTCCTTGTGGGGAAAAAAAGCGCCTTTTGATGGGGAATATCCAATTCTCTCAGATCTGGGAGCAGTGCTGAAAGATGTTTCAGTAACACTGGGATGCAGGGAATTGTCCTGTGATCAGGCCCCAAAGCACAGAGCTTTGGGGGGAAGAGAAGGGAATGGGGGCAGATTTGGGGGCCCCTCCTTGTGATTGAAGTGTGTCCAGGCACCTCTGACTCCCAGGAGCAGCACAACAGCAGCACATGTGCCAGCATGATCCATGAGCAAAGCACCTGGAGCCAGAAGGTTATTGGTGAAAATCCAACAACAGAAGGATGAGGAGCTGCTGGAGTGAGTCCAGAGGAGGCCCTGGAGATGCTCCAAGGGCTGGAGCCCCTCTGCTCTGGAAACAGGCTGGGAGAGCTGGGGAGGGTTCACCTGGAGAGGAGGAGGCTCCAGGGAGAGCTTGGAGCCCCTTCCAGAGCCTAAAGGGACTCCAGGAGAGCTGGAGAGAGGGACTTGGGACAAGGCCTGAAGGGACAGGACGAGGGGGAATGGCTTCCCACTGCCAGAGGGCAGGGATAGATGGGAGATTGGGAAGGAATTCCTGGCTGGGAGGGTGGTGATGCCCTGGCATGGGTTGCCCAGAGAAGCGGTGGCTGCCCCTGGATTGCTGGAAGTGTCCAAGGCCAGGCTGGACTTGGAACCACCTGGGCTAGTGGAAGGTGTCCCTGCCTCTGGCAGGGGGTGGGATGAGATAATCTTTAAGGTCCCTTCCAACCCAAACCATTCCATGATTCCATGAAAATCCCAGCCAAATGAGACAAACAAAGTGAACAGCACATCTAGGGCTGAAAGAACCTTTGGAAGCAGAATAGAGTCCTGAGTCCCACCCGGGGGCTGCTGGTGACAAGAGCTCCAGAGTTCCTTGGTGGGACATTGAACTACATTCCAACTGTGTTGCTCTGGGCTGGCAGAATTCCCTAAGGGAGAGTTGAGCTTCCTCCTGCAGCCTCACTGCATGGCTTGACCTTATTTATTGATCAGTTCCTTGGAACTTCAGTTGCTTGGCTCTGGTTTGGTCCTCCAGAGCAGGTTACGTGGTTCCTTTTCCCTGGTGGGCTGGGAGTTAATCAAGAGCAGAGCTCAAAGCTGCCTTCAAGTCTTTCATGGCTAATGAGACAAACAGGGCTGCAGAACATATCTGATCTTTGGAAAAACTTTTACTTAAATACAGATTTCCTGTGATGGCATAATTTACTATAAAATCAGCGAGATTCCTAAGCCTCACAGGGGTCTGATCAAACATTCTGGCCCTCTACCCAACCTGAGGGGACTGTGCAAATATAACCTGATGTGAAGTTGGTGTAACCACTCAGGGCTGCCCCTGGAACAGCTGTAGGTCTGTTACCCTCACTTTTGAAGTGCCTTTGTGCCAAAGCTGCTGAGCTGTAAAAACCCGTTGCGGCAAAAAGCAAAGGTTGGGAACGAGAAGCCTTGTTTGAGTAACAAACACCCCCCTGTCCATCCCAGTGCTGTGGATGCTGCAATGGTGCTCCTCACCCCTCACCAGCGACTGCTGCTGCTTTTCCACGTTTGTGGGGAAGAAAAGGGGGAAGGGGTTTGGATGAAACGCTGCTCTGAACAGCTGGGAAGGCTGCGGCGGGGTCGGAGTGAGTTTGGCTGTTTCTCCTTGCACATGCATTAATCTTGGAAAGGTTTCTGGCAGCAGAGCAAAGCAGGAGTCATTAAGGAGAAGGTCTGGCTCAATTTTGGGATGGAGGCTTCCAGCCTCCCCTTCCAGCCTCGCTGTGCTCAGGATTTCTAACCAGCAGTGACAGGAGGAACCTCACCTGTTCCTCTGCAACTCCTCCACAGCATTTTCATCCACATGAGTAAAAGCAAAGGGAAACAAGTGAAACAGAAACACTGAGGCAGCCACAGATCCAGTCCCCAGAGGTGGAATTCAGATGCACCCAGGAAGATTCAGATCCTGCTGTGCTTTGCCTGTTTCTGCTCTGCTTTTAATCTTAAGAGCCTAAAAAAAATGAGTTGAGGTTGAACAGCCAGAGTTACCTGAAGGGAGTTTGTTTTTAATGTATTTAAATGAGTCCAGTGGAGGCCACTAAGTTGATCACAGGGCTGGAACATCTCTGAGAGAGCTGGAGGTGTTCAGCCCCTTCCAGTGCCTAGAGGGGCTTCGGGAGAGCTGGAGAGGGACTTGGGACAAGGGGTGGAGGGACAGGATACAGGGAATGGCTTCCCACTGCCAGAGGGCAGGATACTGGGAGGGAATTCTTTGCTGTGAGGGTGGGGAGGGGCTGGACTGGAATTCCCAGAGAAGTGTTGGCTGCCTCATTCCTGGAAGTGTCCAAGACCAGGTTGGATTGGTGTTGGATCAACCTGGGCTAGTGGAAGGTGTCCCTGCCCATGGCAGGGCTGTGGAATGAGATGATCTTTAAGGTCCCTTCCAACCCAAACCATTCTGTGATTTGGGGCTAAACCTTATTTATCCCAAACCAGTATTTTCACAACCTCTGCTCACATTCTGAGTGACAGCCTGAACTTCCAGCTCCTTTCTCTCCCAGGTGAGTGCAGGTCCCTCTCTCGTGGCTGGAGTTTCCTTTCTCCTTCCTCAGGATGAGGTGGAGTGTGTGTGCTGGAGCCATTCCTGAGGTGGTGTGTGTGTGCTGCAGCATTCCTGAGGATTTTGGCCGGGTTCAGTGCCAGCAGCAGCTCCTGTGGCTGTGGCAGTGACTAATCCTTCCCTCCAGCTTTGTCCCAGAGTAAGGGGCTGGCTTTGATCTCTGCAGCCAGTCCAGTAGTGGTGTGATGTCCTTTCCTGCCGACCTGGTGGCCGGCTCAGGGAGCTCATTCAGTTCAACTGCTTGTTTAAAGAGGAATAATCTTTGGAAAATGTCTAATCCAGAAGCATTGCTGGGTCTGCAGAGCTGTTTGGATGCCACGGGATCCCTTGAAATGCCCTTTATTCATCGGGAGCAGGCTGAGGAGGGAATGCTGTCCTGACTTTCCCTGCTGTTGGGGCAGTGGCTGAGCTGGCTCTGCAGGGCAGGTGCCTCAGATTTTCACGTCCTGCCCAGCACAAACACTCCAAGGTGCTTTGGTATCTCCATTTTCAGGAGCACAGCAGGATCCCCAGGTGGTGGTTCTG